AGAGAGATGAGACAAGCTTTTTGATCTGCATTTACATGAAGCCTCATTTGTTGGTATCCAGTTTATTCCTCCATTGACCTTATCAAAAAATAATCCTGTTTCTTTATTCAATGAAAAAGAAGTCAGTGTATCTGCCCTGTTTCATTCAAGTGGAAGACAAATCAGTCAGGACAAGACATGATATTTCAACTGGTCATCTCCCCACAGTGGGAGTGTGGACACCATCTGAGCAGCAGAGGGCAGTGTTTCCTCAGTGTTTCACTAGAGTCTGTAATGCTTCCCTACAAATCTCCACGAGGGGCAAGCAACAGTTTTTTGTTGCACTGAAAGGATTTTCTGCCCATCTAATTTAAAAACAAACCAGATTAAGAGGAAAATCAAGTGTCACAGCTGGTTTTGGTAAACAAGTGAGAAATATTAATTTATTTAATAATTTATTGGATGGACCTCAATGGGTACCACAGATGGGAAAAGTAATCACACAATCATTGCAATAAATAAATGTAATAATGGTCTACTAATAAATGCAATATGAGTAAATCACATCATTCTAGCTCCAAAACAAGCCTGGTGATGCTGGAGGTCAGAGGGCATGGGGGAGAGCGGACTGGAAGATAGACGAGGCCCAAATCATTTTTAAAAAAGGGAGCAGCATTGAGTTCTGTGACAGAGATGATCCAGCTCATCTGACAGGGGAGGGCTGGTTTCAGGACTCTGAACACAGAGGAGGTGAGTACAGTGTATGTTGGGAGATTCTTATTTTATAGCTGCTTTGTGTTCATTGTCATAGAAAAATAAACAACTGCTGCTTAATTCACTCAAGTAAATGTAGATTGTTCTGTGCTACACTTTTCTATACTGTAAAGATGCTTTTAACCAGCTCAGTCACCAAAAAAAAATGATGGCATGGTTAAATTTGTATGTTTCATATGTATCATAGCAACATTTCTAAAGAGACATGGTATATGAGCTAACTGTGTCATCAGGATGAGATTGTGGGTGGTGGTAGACCTTGGCGAGACACATGCCAAGCTTTAGACCACTGCAGAGCACTCCTTAAGACCAACAAACACCAAAATAGGTTGTTTTTAGTGAGTCATCGCTGCAGGGTATTTATAGCAGCCTGTGCTGTGTTTCCACTGGGGAATCTGCCACAAAAAGTGATTACTTTTTACAGAGACATCGCTGTGTTTCCAGCTGGGATTGTGCCACCAAAAGTGTAGTCTTTATATACATTCAGTGAATGTAGAATCTGTAGGCAAACCCCGGAGATCTTGCCTCCGGAAGAAGAGTGGAAGAGCCCTGGTTTCCGGTTGTAGGCTGTTTGTAGTCCGCGTGATATTGACCAATCACGTTTGAGCCGGCTGCAGTGGTTGCCAGGTTAAACGGTCCGTCCGGTGAACTAACGAGGCGAAACATAATTGGCGTCACTGCAAACTCTGAATCCATCGCAATGGTTCAGCATATTTACTTATATATAAACAGAAGTCGGAACGCCTAAATCAAACCAGAATGCCAAAAAATCGGGGGTCTGCCCCCAGAGGCTGCATGCGGTGTCTGCCTGAAGTCAGACGCAGCATACAGCTGATGGGTTCCGAGAATGCCAAAAGACTATCACAGGGCTGACACATAGAGACAGACAACCATTCACACTCACATTCACACCTACGGCCAATTTAGAGTCACCAATTTACCTATCCCCAATCTGCATGTCTTTGGACTGTGGGAGGAAGCTGGAGTACCCAGAGAAAACCCACGCTGACAAAGTATTCCCCTTAATCTTACACACTAGACCTTTAAGACAAAATCTTCCACAATAACCAAGTGGTTTTTGTACCTGAACCTAATCACGTTAACCACAGCATTGAACCTAAAAACAAACCTAAAGTTCAACGTATCCACTACATCAGTGATTCCCCAACTGGTAGGTCGTGGTCCAAAAGTGGGTCATGGGCCCATTTTAAATGGACGGTAAGTGACTCGCAAACATGTCAAGTTTGTAAAAAACCAAACAAACAAAAAACACTTTATTTTTAAGTACTAAATTTCCAGCACAGAGCTTTTATTTTGAAGTGCCATTTCTGCTGTGGAGTGAGTCACTAACGCACAGCCTCTTAACAGAGACAGCAAACTAGATTATGACATGGCCAAATGCAAGAATGACACTGAATATATTAAACAGTGGGACCTTTAACTAATGACCAAGGAGTAATCTGGACCCCGTGGCTGGATCAGTTGGGGACCACAGTACTACATAATAACAAAGAAACTTAACATATCCGTGGTTTGCAGACACGTACAATGCCAACATTGTTGAGACTGGGTTGTTTAAAATTGCATAACTTTGGTCAAATGTCAACATATTTGACCTTGGGGATAACACTCAGCACAATCTAAATGTGCATTGTTGTCTTGGATTTTACTACCACTGGACACTGGGGTGCGCTGAAGTCAGACATTTTCGAAGTGCACAAACAGTTTTAATTATTTTTAATTTATTTGATTAGTTTTATATACAATATGTGCATGCAGGCTCCAAAAAAGTGAGTACATTGACTTCAAGTTTTGTTCTTAATTTCACACCACATGACTATAACCCTAAAAAGTGTAAAAAATAAAATCAAATATTTCCACTGCATAGCTGCTGTTCCTCACACACACACACACACACAAAGTTAAAACAGTGCAAGCGACATCTGAGCATCACATACACACACGGGAAGAACATATGATTGGTTATCAACAACTTGCCGTCGGGGTGACGTCAGCGCAGCCGGGGGGAGGAAGCGTTTAGAAAAAAGGCAGAGAGGAGGTGAGAGGAGATCAGTGGAGGCTCGGTGAGGGGACACAGCACAGCCTCAGGACCTCGGACTGAAGGAAAACACACGCTTACACACTGCGGAGGAAAGGCCGTCACACATCTCTGCTCTCACCTGCGCGTGCACGGACCACGCTAGAGAAAAACACCCTCCTCCTGATCACGGATACAAACACACAACCCAGCCAGGATATCTGACCCACAGCCCGCCGCGGACACGCAGCCTCGGCAAATGGTGTGGATTTATTGATCCGATCCACGCGCTCACCTGTTCGTCAAAGCGAGGCTGCACAGAAACTCATGTGTCCTGCACATCTGGAGCCTGAGCCATGCTACCCACCGTCCTCATCACCACATGTGGATGTTTTAGTCTCCGTGGATGGAGAGAGGAGGCGCGGTGTGAAAGTAAGTCTGCTGGATCCAATGGTGCTGACTAGTTTGCACAAATCAGACCTGTTAGTATCATCTCCATGCGTGTGTTTAAATTAATGCATGTTATTCTCAGCCTGCACGTGCACTAGCCTCATATCTGACACATTATAGGACCAGGATGTTAAATACAGTGTGCATTCATTTGTTATAGTGAAATGTTTCAATAGGGTTCATGGTCAACAACGACCAGCACTCATATTAGTCTTTTATGTCTAGTTTATTTGCATTTGAATCTCACATGTAATATATCTATCAGATACAGTTTATTTGACAAAGACAACATTAGGCTTTTATTATAACAATGAAGCCACAGGCCTGTTTAACCAAGAGCGCCCACAAACCCTCCAATAGAGTCCATAAAGGCAACTTTATTTATTAATGTGTCCTGCATGTCCAATATGGACCACAGACACAGTCTCAGGCCTGCTGTCTTTTAAACAGGCTGTGTCAATGTACAAAAGGCTGTGATAATTATAGTAATGTGTGTGAGAGTTTTCTCCCAGATGTACAAAGAAAGTGACGCATGCCTTGTCAGAGCATTTACTCCCCAATTAAAACGACTGACGTCAGACGCACTGATAAAGACAAGCGTGAGTTCATCAAGAGGTTATTTTTAGTGAGGGTGCAGATTTTAATATAACTATAAAAGTAAGTGGATTTAATTCAACTGTAACAAAATGTATTTGGAGGAAAAAATATACATAAGTGTAGAAAAGTGATGCTTAAGCTTCAGAATTCATCATCTCAGTGACAGAGTCATAACAATGCATTAATTATAGGATTGCAGCAATGTATGGTTGCAAAAATAATTATTACAAGACACAAGCACTTGGGCCTGTATGATCCCTGACAGTGTCCACATCCCAAATATTTGTAAAGTTTTATAGTAATTGTTAAATCTCTGTGATATGCAATATAATGCCAGATGGTTAAAATAAAGTAACATTTTTTGTCATAAATTGGACCAAGTAATAGTAATTTAAAAATATTTTCAGGAAATATTTTTCTAGGACCACACTTTTGGGTAATAAAGCAACACAGTACTGTAATGTAAGAAATGAAAAAAAAAAGATAATTATTGTTTAAAACTTGAATGTAATTTGATACAATATTCACTCAAAAACCTTTTAGAAAAAGTTTGACCACACAAGTTTGATGAAAAAATATTATTTGGAGCTTTATAAAATGTTACAGCTTTGTTGCCTTGTCAGAGCAAAGCAGGGTGAGTTTTCTTGGGAAAGATTTGAAAAGGAGGCAGTGAAGAGACAGTGCACACAGACATGTACATGTTATATTATATTTATATTAGCAATATAAAGTGCAATAAAAGATGACAACATGCTTGTCAACAGCCACACTTTTTTCATATTTAGCCGACTGTATTTGCCTCAAATTTGAATTAAATACAGTCACCGTATAAATACTTGAGGTCTGTGACTGACAGAGAGATAGTACATTTTAATTATGGTTTTAGATTTAAAAAAATAAATTTGATAGAAAGGCTTTAAAAGCTGGTTTTAGTTAGTTTAGGAAAAATTATGAAAGAAATATTAAAGTCAAGGTTTTCCCATTTTTAATATCAAAATTGCTAGTTGAAGCCCTGCAGTATTAAATTAAACAAGCGTTAACTTTATAATAATACTTTTTTTTTTGTTCCCAGGTTCAGACTTACCTTTTGCTGTTAGAGCAAACAGTGGAGCCTGTTCCTGTCTTTGGTTATCTAGCTGTATGAGTGTTAATCATCCATCATAAAGCTAGATAACCGAAAGTAGGAATGACCTCCAAACGCTCATCTTCCTGCCTTAATGAGAATAAACAAAAAGAAAACACAGGTACAAGAGGACATCAGGTCTTTGCAGGTGGGTTATGAACACACTCAGTAGTTTTTATAAATCTGAACATGCAAATGACACAATGGAGCTGGGGCAATCAGTCGATTGGTTGACTTGGTCGATCATCAGAAAAACAATCAGGAACTATTTTATATTATTTTTCAGTCAAAAAAGGGAAAACTTTTCAGATCCCGCTTTTCATTTGTGAGGATCTGCTGTGTTAGTGGATTGGATATCTTTCTGACTGTTATTCAGACAATATAAGCACTTCAGCAAATTGTTTTAGTCACTTTTTTCTGACATTTTTAAAACCAATTGGTAATGAAAATAATTATAGTTGTTTGGTAACACAGATGAAAAACAGATCTATGTCTTTTTTATTTGTAGTTTCTGAAACAACCCTGTACACAGTTAGATGCTTTGGAAATGCCTCCTCTTGGACTTGATGATTTAGTAAATATCTTATTCCACTTACTTTGATTCTTTGGTCTTTTGTTGAGCGTTTTAATTACCAAAAGTGGTCACACATCCACTGCTCAGTTATTTACCAACTTGGAAAACCAGACACATTTAAAATTTTCTAACATTTGAAGCTCTAATATTTACTGTGTTCCCCTTTTTTCTGTCTGTGAGATTTCACGTGTCAAAAGACAGAACTAACATTTTTGTGGAGGATGTTTTCTGTCATCTGAGACCACTGGAAACATTAAATTAATTATTATACACTTTATACTTAATTTTGTATAGAGGAAATACATATGTTAAACTTAAAAATCCAATAGGAGCTCCTGCTTCAGCAAACACACATGCATGTTGCTGCTCCACACGACTTTTAGGCACAGATACCTGGTACCACTTCTTTGCACCGTAGTTCCCTTTGTCAAGTTGTCCTCTGCTGAACAAACCTAACTCTGGAGTGTCCCTATTGCTTTGATAAACTGACATGCTTTAGCCAGTATAACTGATAACTATTGCCATAGAATAATGGTAATAATACACTTATATTCCATTATAAATGTATGAATTATTCTTTACATTATCCAAATTCTTAAACTGCTATTAGATCCAAAATTTTCTTTAAATAATTGTATCAAAGCAGGTATCAATATACTTTTACTGCCTTTAACCACAGTGTTGTAAATGGTGCAAAGTGAGCAGAAGAATATGACACGTGCATAACTTTGTGCGTTTTATACTGCCACTCAGATTCTCTGTAGCTTTTACATTAACTGATTGACTGCATGTTTTAACTATCCATTTATTTTTACTGTAAAAAAAAAAAACACACACACACACAGAAGGCTTCACATTGCTTCGCTAACCCCTGTCTTGCATATTAGCAATAAAATAAAATATCTGACAAAAAAATGAAAGGTACGAGACACTCTTTTGCAGTTTAGTCTTACCCAAGAGGTCGAGCCGTAGGCATGAAAATAAAAGTGTCAGCTTGTCTCCGTGAACCCAAACATCCCCTTTAATGGTGTAAAAAGGCATCATTTTTATTATTGCAACATTCTTTTTCTTGAATCAAATCATAATTTCATTTTGAATGACACAGTTTTTTCAAAATTTAATTTGAGGCATTATTTGATGTACAGACACAGATTGGCTCGCAGTTACATACTGCCAGCAATTTGACACCAGGTACTGGAAATGCAAAGGAAAACTGAAACATTGTCCCACATCTACATGGCCACCACTGTGACATCCTTCCTCTGAAAGAAAGACCTTCTCCCGTGGTGAGGAACACATGTCAGACTGTGCATATTACGGAGCTCGGCCTCCTGCGCTGTCAGAACATCATGTTGTCTATATGGAAGCCATCTTGACGGAGTCTCCCTGCTGCCTCTAAAATGGTTGTGTTGGCACATAACAGGGCCGCTTTAATTCGTTAGCTGTCTGTCAGACCCTAATCAGCGCTGTCTTTAAGTCTCCATGTCTCAGGTCCTACTGTACGTCTCCTCTCTGCTGTGATCTCACTAACTAAGAGATGTTGCTAATTAGTGAGGTCACGTAACTGAGCCCTTTTAAAGGTCGATCAATGAGTCAGTGTAGATATGACTGCTACAGTGATTGAACAGTGAATGAATGAATCAGTGGACAATCTCATGACATTTCATTAAAGCTGCTGTTCGTGTGCACCTGGTATCTGCACTAATGTCATCAGTGGGGAAATAATAATAAGTCTAATTAAGCAAACTCCAGAGAAACAACACACTCAACCTTTGATGAGCAAATATTAGACGGCTCTTATAAAAAATACCTCTTGTATTAAAACCCAGATTTAAATTATTATTATGTTGAAGTGCTTGTTTTAAAATAAGCATGACAGATTAAAAAAATGCATGCACACATATCTAATAACCACATGTTATTTTCCAAACTCTGGATATTTTAAGGTCATTAAAAACTTTTAAAAATTACCTGCAGTCACCTTATTGATTTACATCAGATCCAGTGTCACCACATCCTCCTCATGCCAGACTCCACCCACATAAAAATGGCAAAAAAAAAAAAAACGGGATTTAAATCAATTTTGTTAATGATAAGGAAAATATAGGCAGATAAGAATAAAAATAAGTAAGTAACACTTTAATGCTTTCACATGCTTTTATGTTTATTTAATCATTTAAAAGGAGATGCCACTTTTCAGTTAAATGGTCCAAAAATATTGTTGCATTTACAGAAATTATATGAATATAATTAAAAATACAGTAGATAAATAAGCCTTATTAGGCCTTGAATAAGGGCCTTATGGAACTTTTAAAGAACTGCTCTTTTTTTAAATTAGAGGCCAAAATAACAGGCCTTTAGTTTGTAAATGTGCACTGGTTATATGTTACAGACCATCAGCCTGTGTTAATTAATGTATTAATTAGGCTTATTTTTATCACTGTATGTGTGTAAGGAGTCTGTCCCATGAACACATTTATTTTTCTCCATGAAAGGGATGAGTTAGTCAGAAGAGGGAACAATAATATCTTGAATTATAGTAACAAAATCTTAGTGGAGAAGTAGGTCTGTATTTTTAAAATAGCATTTGACCCTTTTCCAAAAAAAAGCCGTAACTCAAGTGCTGATTAATAAGGATTTTTAATAGAGAATAATAAATAAATAACCTTCCCTCCTTCACCTACATTTCAAACAGTTGTTTATTAATGTCACCATCACAAACACTGCAGACTCTTTATGGAAACAGACGGTTTCATTATGTCAGATGGACTTACAGTTTAATGCAGCTAAATATGTAGCATGAAAAATATTTACATGTAGCCCGGCTTATTTTACAAATGCAGCCCAGAGATAAGTTACTCACAGAGCGGTGTGTTTTATTCTCCGCAGTGTTGGGAGAAAGAAGCTTGCAGCACACAGGCTGCAAACACAAACGCTTCCTGAACAAAGTCTTTATCCGACATGCGCGCTCTCTGTTGGTCTCTCCGCCACACCATTACTGTGGGATAAAGCAGACCTACCAAAAAAAAAAAAAAAAAAAGCCAAGAGTGGCCTTACAAAGATGGAAAATAAAGGAAACAATCACGCAACTCCAGCCGATAATGAATAGGAGCCAGACAAGCTCTGCATATTAACATAATTGCATAGAAACGAGGCGAGCAGAGAGAGTATTTAAAGGCGCAGCAGCACCCAGCGTGTCTCTCCATCCGCTCTTATCTGCCTGTCTGGAGAACAAGACCAATATGAATATTTAAATTATGCACCGAGAAAATGGACAATCAATTCTTATCGTTAATTTTTCTTTATGAAGGTGCAGTAGGCCTACAGAAGTTATCTACTGTGACTCGCCCTTAAACCTAACCTGAACTTAGAATATAGTATAGAATAATATCTTTTAACATGTTCTGAGGCCTTTATTAAAAACTAAAAATATGTTACAGTCTCTAAGTAAAAAGAGTTAGCCTACAATCAGGGCTGTTAAACAGAAATACTGAATTTGTTAGTCCAAGTTCCCCTGGATGCACCTGGCCCAAAAAATTGTATAATAATATGTCAGCTGTTTATTTTCCAAAAACATGAAAAGGAAAATTATTTTTAAAAGCTGCGTCCAAATTGCAAGGATTTAATTTCTGGTTGGGAAATACTTACTACTGAAATATTTAAAGTTTGTTATTAGAGTAAAAATACTAAAAACAGACTACAAAAACTTTGTAATTTGTACATTTTTAGTTGCTGAATGTAATTATCTCATATTGCTTAAAAAAAGTCCAAAACTTCCTGAGAAAAATTAAAGAGCCAAATCCCTTGAATTTAAATATATTGTCCTCATATAGCCTAATTTAAAACAATCAAATGCTGCACAGGGTTGTCACCATATACCGGTACGATAACCGTGATATTAAAAAATTAAATATTGATATCATGTTAATAATACAAATATCGTGTAAATAATCCAGGGCCTCTTAAACCATTTGCGTTGTCTCTCTCCCAGAATGCCATCTTGCTGCCTTGTCACCATCCATTATAGCTCTTTTTGTTACAAACCCTCTGTCCACCTTCCTGCACTCCTATTTTAAGTGTAATTAATTTGTAAAAAAAAAAACAAAACAAAGAAAGTAAGAAAAGAAAGCACACAATAAACCAAGTTGAAGATGAATTTGAGTAATTATTAATAATTGCTTTTTTTAAGAGGTAAAATTTTCTATAAGTATCTTGATAATATCGATATCGTGAACTCTATTGGCCACGTTTAGTGTAAATCTGACATTGTGCGAGCCATTGAAGTGACTGTTAACAATACTGTTATTAAAACCATTTAAGACTACTGACTTAAAGCATGTCCCCTTATCTCAGAGTTAACTCCAGTGTTTTATATTCTGATTTATGGTGCTGTTGGCCAGCTGTTCTCCTCGAGTCACACCTGAGTGTTATGTTACAGCCTGTGTTTAAAGGTTTCTGTTTTCTCATCCTGACAAAGGCAAGTACTAGTTTTAATAGTCGCTGCTGCAGCTTGGAAAATAAAAGGGGGACTGTTCCTTTATTAGACACCAGGCTGTAATTAGACAAGCAGCTGGGGGGAGGGGCAGGTGTGAAGCTGGGTGATAATATGAGCTCATACAGCAAAACACTGTGTGACTACCAACACGGAGCTCATGTGTAAATCAGCCTTATTAGCTTGGTTAAAAATGAGTTTTACAGTTAGATTGAACCACGTGCGGGTGACTCAGTTTGATCTGTAGATTTGAATTAACAACATTTCCTCATTGTCTTTGGCCTCCAGCCACTCAGTGCACAATAACTGTTGTCTATAATGAGGCTGCTGTTAAATATAAATTAGGTTTTTATTATATAAAGAAATTCCTAAAAATATTTTTTAAGAAAAAATGATCTCAGTCAGATTTCCAAGACATTATTGGACATATACAACCACCTAATAGACACCTGCACACATGTGAAGTCCAAGTGTTGTTGTTCCCCCCATGATGCAAACACAGTGCAGCCCTCTCAGACGCTGCATGTTGGTGCTGTGCACTGCAGCTGCAGGAGACCTGTTGGTAAACAGTAGCCAGTGTCCACATTATCATTCTGATCCTGGCTTCGCTCCACAATGGCTGCTTTGTGAAAGGAGCACTTGACAAAGCTCCGCCACTTCTTTTTCCCAACGTTGTGCATGTGAAATGGCGCTGCAGTAAACCCCAGGCTCTGAGGTGGGAGCGTCGCGTCAGACCAGACAGTGGCAGATGCCTGCATTAGCACCGCAGCCATAAGAGTGTCTCCTGGAGAAGTTGTCCCATTGTCTTCCTGCCTTTTAATGTCTGTGAGTGACTCTCTCACAGTCAGTGTAGGGGTGTGTGGTCTCAGGCCAGAACTGATGTTTGTGTCCAATGTGGAGCCTGCTTGATTCAGATTAGTAGAACTCAATAGAGCAAAGTTCTCTGCAGAATATGAACAATTATCAAAACAACTATTCATACATAATCCACATATAGGAAACACATATTCACAAAATGAACAAAATAAATAAATAATAATAATAACAGGAAGAAGAATGTCAAAAAAAAACATTAATTCTGTCCAACGTGGAGGAGACAAAAATAAAATAAAATAAAATAAAATAAAATAAAATGTGAAAGACAAAAGGATAAAAACAAATATGTTTGTTACATTAGTGTTTCAATCAGTTGACAACTTATTTCAAGACGTTGGTCAAAATCAAAAAACATTTTTGACATTTTTAGTAGGATGGAAATAGAATATTCACAATATCTTAAATAAAATAATTAGTCCACCTAATTGTGTGTGTGTGTGTGTGTGTGTGTGTGTGTGGGTGTGTGTGTGTTAGATGATCTGTCTCTGTTGACATGTATCAGAAGCTGCAACTGGCATTTTAGCAAAGAAGGAGACGATATGACACACAGATCAGACTGTAGATTTACACCAGTGATGTAATAGTGATGCAGTCATTGTCAGGTCTCATCCTTTGTAAGAGCTGTTTTGTGTTGTGAGACCTTGCTCTCACCACAACAATGCCACTGTTTTACAGTATACAGGAGTGACCCAGGCATCCTGGCCTGAACAGGACAAACAGCCTCATATTTCACAACCTGAACCTGTAGAGAGCGACTTTAAGCTCTCCTGAAGGCAGGACATTGTGTGTTTTAAGTCCCAGCAGCCTCCTTTTCCCCCACAAGGATACCGCAGCTGCGATCCTGTCTTAATCTGGGGATAAACGCGATTATCCTGCTATGGCTTGTTCTTGGCTTTGTAGCAGCGACAGGGGACCTTTCACAGCTCCCTTTTTTCCCATGGTCGAGTGGGTCTGAGCAGCGAAGACCCCCGATGTGGACCAGTCACCATTCATCGGCTTTAGGCCGGAGCAAGTGAGCACACCAACCCTGAGGCAGATAGATGGAGATAAATACTGGATGTTGAAAATTAGCCAAGTAGAGAAATCAGTGAATCACAAATAGTAACAAAATATGTTTTAGTGTTAGACCTGATAAAATAAGAAGAACAAACTGTTCTCATTCTGCTTGTTATTATCATCATTATTATTATTATTATTACTGTTAGTTATAGAATTTTAAGCATTGATAGGCACTGATACAGATTCCTATTTATTTTATTATAATATTTACATTATTTCTTCATATTTCTTGATTTCATTATAACAGGGCAATATATTATAATGGGATTGCATTAAAACTTTTTATTGAAAAATGAACTCATTGTTCACTCAAGCCATTTCTGGAGCTTTCCACTGCATCAATATGACCTTATCTTAATTTAAATGCACTTAAAGAAGATACAAATCAAGGTAAACTCATAAAACATTTGTTCATTAATGATTTAAACAGGCACATGAGAGAAATTTGTGGCCTTCTGTCAGAAATCTATTCTGATGCACTGAACCCGCACTCTTCCATATCATCACACATGTCATTATAACTGCTTTATGTTATTCTCTGTATGACTGTCCATTACATCTGTCCTATTTATCTTAAATGTAAAGGCCTGTGCGTCACTCTTTTTAAGTCACATTATTTCAATTCATACTCACCACAGCTTGTCAAATACCGCCGTCGGTCAGTGGCCCATCCTGTCAAAACATGAAAGGGACGTTCAGGGGCAGCGTGTCAATGTACGTTTGTTACATGCGTCGTCTCTTTTCAAACTTAACTTCCATTCTCGTAGTAAATGTACAGTTTCTGATTGTCAAATGCACACAGTCTATAATAAACGTACAGGTATCTAAGTATAATAATAATAATTTATGGTTTGGCTTAAAATAAGTACATGTTACTAATGCCATGGCAACATTTGGCTCCTGGATGAAAGTCCAGAGTTTGTTTGACCCATTCCCCTTCCCTTCTGCCTGCCCCATGCTGACTTTCTCACTCTTTGCGCGGAGCATCAATAAATGCCATCGCCTGGGGCATCTCGAAAGGGTGCCTCTGCGCATCAGTGTCTGATGCTGACAGGCCACAGGCCAAACATCTTTATTTGACAAGTTGGGAGTGAGACTGTGTTGATTATTTAACCAATAAAACAAAAAGAAATGTATTAATTATAAGCCAAGCAATTTTCCCCCCTAAACTTAGCCAAAAAATCTCTTTCTAGCAGAAAGTCCTGCAGGCAAACATCTCCCAACGGCTTTACACAGCAAATATTTAACATTCACAACATATTAAAGTATTGTGGGAACTAAATCACAGACAACCTAACAGGAATGGATTTCCATTCTCCCCCGCCAGCCGTTCAGACTGTCAGTCAAGTTCAAGTTCACAGGGGTAGAAATGTCTCGACTCCTCATTCACTTCTGTCACTCCTCCCCCCCAAAACTCCTCCTCCCTCTTCCCCTCTCCCCCTCTCCCCCCGTGCTCTGCAGTGACTGCATGGCGTTACTATGACAGAGGGGCTGTGGCGTTGTTATGGCAGCGGGCTGGACGGCCCAGCTATGCGCTGGTGAAAAGGACAGCCTGTCAGAGAGAACGAGAGACTCAGGTTCCCCCCAACAGCTGGGCACAGGCACCCCCCCTTACAGCCCCCCACCCTCCCACCTCAGGCCTTTCAAACACCATCCAGACCCTGGGAACACCAAGAATTTCACATTCATCATCCTCACACACACACACACACACACACACACACACACACCTCTCCCTCCACAACCAACTCCTAACTCTGGTGTCTATCCATCCACCACTTAACATCACTTTTCACTTACACTTCCATCTCCCTCCCTCCCACACACACACACACACACAAACACACATACTCCCTCGTCTTGCTCTCCTCTCAGAGCTACACCTCACTTCATTATGCCCACCTGTATTGTGTAATCAAGTAAAGGATTTGAAATTAAAAAACAAAAACTGAAATGAAAAAAGACGGCGAAGATGAGTACACTTTCTGAGTCTGTGTGTGTATGTGTGTGTGTGTGTGTGTGTGTAGGTGGGGGGGTGATAGAGTTTGTTGAGGTCTCATTCAACTTTGAGCATGAAAGGCTGATGATTTGCATAAACTGCATGGTGTCTGAGGGGCTTGGGGGGTGGCAGCAAAGATATGAGAGAACATGAAAAAAAAGCAAGCACGATCCTGCATTGTGGAGCTGCAGGGAGAAAGAGGAGGTTTGAATAAGAGAGAGGGTGACAATTGGCAAAGAAAGGGTCTTACCATGTCTCCCAGTGGGATTAAATTGTCCAGGAATCTATTTATATATATTTTGGTGAATCTGGCTGCAGCATGGCTGCAGGGCTGATCTCACAGCAGACAAGAGCACATGTGCTGAAATGATGCAACCAGTCTAAGAAACATGTAAATGTTCAGAGTGGACATCGTCTTATCAAACTGTACCTGCACATAAATGAAATGTTGAATTACAGAGCAGGATCTTATTTTGTATTTTCCTTTGTTTCTGTTTTGTTTGTTTAGAAAAGGACACGAGTGATGCTGCTGCCATGCTGTGGAGGATCTTTGCAGCTCGTATCAGTGTGTTAATCACATGGATTCACGAGCCAATACATGGGGTTTGGGGATGAAAGAGGGATGAATGACATGTTTTGCTCTTTACTCAATAAAATAAAGCTGAAGAAATATGACAACTGTGTTATTATTGCTGAAACAGTTCATAAAGGCTGGTGTGTGTCAGGCAATCAACTGAAAAGAACTACTGCATGTTTTTAGACAAAGTCAATAGAAAGCTGCATATTGTTACAGTGCTGTTTAAATCTCCCATATGAAGGTTATACACTGCTTTGTCACACACATCAGACCATGGAAACAGTTTTCTTTCATTCAGTAATCTCTTTCTGTAACAGGTAAAACAGCCTGGGGTGACACAAATGACAAAGAGCACAATGATGGTGATTACATTTAAACTCTTCAGTCACAGCTTGCTGAATATAATGTTCTCTGCCAAACTGGGTAAACAGGACAATTACTTTACTGTATCTCTCCATACAGTGTTTTTAAAATGTGATATCAAAAACATTTAATTGAGGACTAAAAGTCAAGTTCCTCTGTCGCACTAAGTTGCTGAGATTGATTAAATTTGGTCCCCACATCTCGACAAATCGTCTGAGAATGTGAGTAAAAATGTGACGTCATTATTGTTCTCTGTAAGTTTAGGAATTTATAGGATGATTATAACATGATAAAGATACATCAACAGCTGATCTCCTCTGCTCACAGACTCCAGCCATTCACCTGAACAATAATGAAAGAGATTAAATGTAGGCTCATGTGATTGTATTATAAACTAACTGTATTATAAACTAACTGTTGTTCAGTAAACTGTTCAGGCGTGCAGCCTGCATGCAGCCTGTCTGTGGTGTTAAACTGTAGATTAGTAAAATGCCCACCACAATGTGTGGACCTTGTGTCTAGAGAGCGTCAGTCTGCTGCTGGCCACAGAAGGTCATGACCTTTCACTCCCCTAGGACACAACTTGACCCGGCACAAGCTTACAGACACGTGCGTGTTCTTCTGATGTGTCACCCAGATTCTGGTGTTACACCTGACCTAGTGTTATTAAATAAAGTCCTGATAGCACGTAGGTCTATAATATAATATCTTATTTTATTATATCGAATAGAAAGAAAGAAAAATGAATTGTGTTATGTGATGTATAAGTGTGTCCCTGCGGTGAAGTCAAAGGTCATGGTTAGTTTTTCTCTCTTGATAAATGACAAATATACATAAATGCATGTATTCATTATCAGAATTCCTATAAACTAAAAACATATGAAAACATTTCTTAGTGACAGCTGAGCAGAGTTTTAATCACAGACCTGTGTTAATGCAACATTATGTCTAAACAGATGACATTGGAAACATTTTTTTCTCAATCAGTGCAATCCTGTATTTACACCAAACAATATAAAAAAGAAATAACAGATCTAATACATTTTCTATTTACACAAAAGGCTTATATATCTGTCTCGGATTTTGTTGAGCGCTTCTCCTTTTCCAAGATAATCCATCACTCGATGAATGTGTCATACACCATGCTGATTTAAGAACATGATCAATGTACCCTGGGATGGATGCAGAAAAAGGCCACTAGCTACCATAAGCCCTCTCCAATGGGAATTTGGCAGTATATCCAACCAACCTCATAACCGCACATGTAACTACACCAGCTCAGGACATCCACATCCGACGTCTTTACCTGCAAGATCATCTGAGACCAGCCCCTGAGGGATTCCTGAACAAATCTTCAGATAGTTTTTTGTCAGCGGCTGGTATCAGACAATCTGGCAGAGGAAGAAGGTGGATGTGGAAGTCGTAGGCTGACTCACTGCGGCGAACTGTCACTTAAATTCTGCTCACATTTTGTCAACAGATAGAGATAGATGATGTCTTTTGTGGTAGGAGTCAACAGTCACATCACTCACCAAAGCTGGGAGATTAATTTTCAGGCTGTGCTGCAAAGACCAAAGCATGTTTTTATTATGTGCTGTTATTACATGTAAATAAACTAATACTTATCATGTCCCATTCATTACACTGCCTCAAACTACAGTATGGAGAACAGACTGGAGTTAATACTTAGTGTTAATCAGAGCTTTTATGTGAAGGTGCCAAAATGTGGATCTCAGTAACATCATGATGTGCATCACACTTTCGGAGTAGGGAGTGAGAGGATCAGAGTGAACTAAGACGTTGCTGCTCTACCTTGTCATGAATGACGAGTAGGCAGCTGTGTACCAGGTTTGTGTCTGTGGAGGACTGCGGATGATTGTCTAGTCATTTATATCTTCCAACTGAGTGAGCTTTAGGTCTTGTACTCTGCGTTTGCATAAGAATAGAATCAGGTCCTGTGAACTTCCCCAACCTATTGACCCAGCTCCCCCAACATGAATAGCTCTGCTATGAGGCTCCCCAGCCTCTCAAACAGGCTTTAACCATGCCTTAAGTCCCAATCATGGTAATTTAATATATCTTAAGCCCCCTGGCTGTTTTGCTGGAGCCCCTCTACAGTTTGTTTTAGGCATTCTCTGCTTCTCACCTCATCAGCACCGCTCCTTATTTGGCAAATTTAAGGGGCTGCTGTGGCACTACAAATTCCCTTTCAGCAGCTAAATAAGCCCAGATTCCATATAATTAGTAAAAGTTTTTTTCTTATTATTATTCAGTCTTTTGATTTAGAAGAAGAGGAAAATCTCACCAAAGAAATACAGCTGAGGAGCAACATGATGAAACAGGCTGAGGCTGTCTCAAATGCATCAGCGGCTCACAAGTGGCAGCTTTACGTCCACTAATGCGGAGTCCGACATCAATGAATCTTAAGTAACAGAGCTGTAATTACATATCATGTAGAGACGATATGAGAAAAATAATCTAATCTAGATCCTTTTAAAACTGTGAATTATTGATATTTTTAGGAATTTACAGGCAACAAATTTAACAAATTGTGATAAAATCACTTTACATGTAAATCAACTCTATCATAGATGTAATTCTCATATTTTTCTCCTGTATTTGGGTGTATAAGTAATAGAACAATGTATTTCCACTATTGTGACCTTTTTTGCTAAAGGTTTGTACATTTTTATAGGCACCTGTGCCATTTTTCTTGAATTTTGGGAGTTTGTGCCGGAAAAAAAAAGGATACCATGCATGTGGTATAAGGAGAGTTTAAAAGGTGCTGACCAAAGAAAAAAGAAATGCATAGAAAGTTGCCAAATTAAACCTGGACCCAGAGGGATTATTATTAAACGTCTCGACTGACAGCAGCTGAGAGTCCAAAAGTGGTTCTTTTTTCTTTCCTCCTCAAACTCTTTGCATTTAGAGGGAGTGCATCATGTCAGACAACTTCTCTATTCTGTCCTTGTGAGGTTTTGTGACAGCGTTTTAAGCATCAACTTAAAGCACTTCTGCTGAGTTTATTAAAGCAGGCATCCCAGATATAATGGTATGTGATATAATGGTAGATGCATGTTCATGTTCATGTTCATGTTCACAGAGCCCACATCTCTTACAGCTTCTGGCAGGGTATTCCATAATTTTGAAGCACAGTTAACAAAAACTGTGCTGTTTATATTTTTGTGCATCTAATTGTGTGTATTTAAAAACCCACTTAAGAGTTTGTTAAGGATTACAAAACGACATAATTTACAATGTAAACTGACACTGGGAGCCAATGAAGTGTAGATAAAACTGAGGTATGCTTTCTCTTCCTTGTTTTGGTTAAAAGTCTAGCAGCACAATACCGAATAAGCTAAAAACTTTTGGACTGTGTCCGAAGCCCAGTAAAAAGAGCATTGCAAGTATCTTTTTTTTAAAAAAAAAAAAAAAAAGATAAAAACATATATACGTTTTTCAGGATCTTTATAGTATAGGAATGGCTGTACTCTGGCAATGTTTCTTAAGTGATTAAAAAGCTGTTTTGGTCAACGTCTCTATGTGTAAGGTAAAAATTACTTCTGAACCTTGAACAGAGCTGACATTATACACACACCTGTGCGGTGAAAATAGTGTGACATCATGTTTATGTTTACTGTTGGTCCACTCGGTGCATGCTAGCATGCTAACACCAAGCTAACATGCGAGAATGAGCAGACTAGCCTGCATAAAGTAGTACAGGTACTTCCAAAGTATGTCGTTAGCATGAAGACTCGTATTTATTTCGTCAGCTCCTTCATTTCGCTCTGCAGGTCCTGGCTGCATCGTGCCCTTGCCTTCAACTACTCAAAGCTGTACTGGCCAAATACTTGCGCATGTGCATTACAGCAGTATATACACAATTTCTTACTTTACATGAATGATGCATAATGTCCAGATCTGAAATTGAAAATGTTCTGGAAGCTCTTTGGCCTCATACAGACTATACAGTTCCATATTTATGACATTTTATATGAAACATTAAATATTTTAACTGAGTGTAATCTATCTGTCTTTGCTCTGGTATGAAATGTCAGCAATGTTGTGATATATCAGATCAGTCTGATCAGCTGCAGCACTGCACATGTCCAGTCAATAACTTATATCCAATCAATGGGCGTGTCTGCCGATAAAATACTTCTGTGAAGGCTGCTTTCGAGTATCCTCAAGGATCCCTTCTCGTTCCTCGATCCTTGCTCCTTGAAGCAGAAATAAGAGCTTTGGGACGGCCTTTAAGATGGCGCAACAGAATGACTTCCAGTACTTCCAGTTCAAGCAAGGATTCACTCGAGAAAATATAAAATAAGAAACTTGGGATACACCCAGTGATGTCTGATGATCTTAAACTAACAATGGCACTGGTGCACAAGGTGCAGGAAGGCTGCGTCAGACTTGACAGTGCACTCTCTTTCCGTCTTTGCAGGGCTCCAAGCTCTTTCTACAGATACAGCATCAATAACCAGCATATATAGACAAGTTTCAGTGATGTGAACAAGGACTGCTGACTAAAATGCAAATCTACATCATCTGAAGTGGAACCTGCTGAGAAAAAAAGCACTGGACCCCAAAAGAACTGGCACAAACAGCAGTACCAGTGATGTCAACATTAACAATGATAGACCTATTGAAGTTGCACAGAACAGTGTGAGGAGGAAACAAATGGCCTAATTCAAAATTTGGCCATGTGGTTAAATTCATGAAAGAGATGGAGTCT